CTTTAATCAGTAATTAAATCAGTCATACACGAGAGATAATTTTGACCTTGCCTGTTTTTGATTGAGGCAACATTACCAGGCAGGGATCACTTTATTACCAGCCAGTTCTGGCCACTTTTGATTGAAGTAACTCTCCTACCTTAATTTCTGTCAGCCTCACAGCGTAAGTCTGTATTCTGAAATTCAGATTTGATGAAATGTTCCACTGTGTAGCTCTGCTTCACATGTAGGGAGTATCAATGGTTGCCTAGCATCATTTGCCTGTAGTAGTATGTATTGTAGTAGCAATCTGCCAGTCTCAGTAATTCTCCGTGTGCCAGCAGTCTAAAAATAGAGCAAATTTCTTCTGCCTTATCACTGCACAATGAAAGAATAATAACCATCCAAATGGTACATCAACACTCACAAGAGCACTTTAATTTACTTTTATTTTAGATAGAGAATACATCACTTAAAGTTCTTTTGGGATATTATCAGACAATTAATTGCACATAATTAACTATATTACAATGCCCATCAAGTAAAAACATATTCATCTCAGACCAGTATACTTACATAAATTCCTACTGCATCTTACTGAATTTAATCGGTTTTTTTTCAGTGGTATTCCAACATGGATTTAGAAAATAAATGTCAAAATTTTAAGTATGAAGTCATATTGTCCTTAATACCTATCCTATATTATGATACACAACATGTCTTTTTTCTTTCCTAGAGTTTGCTTATTCGAACAATGCCAGATTTCTTCTGGTTTCTGGAATAAATTTAGGTATACATATGAAGGATAATTCAAATTTCAAGAGCAGATCTTTTGACATGCATGTCGATAATTTTCAAAAAGACATCACCAAATGAATGTTTATCCTTCTGTTTAACTTACATGAATTAATTAAGAGTTCACAAATTTTGAGGGGAAAATGTTTCTCAATGTAAACCATTATTTTGAGGGAAAAAAAGAAAAGAACAAAACAAGAAGAAAGGAAGAGGCCAAAGGGCCTTATTGGTAACCAAGTAATAACTTACTTTGTTATCAATAAGGCTACATTGTACATCATGCAAAGCCTATGTAAAATGTGCATAATATGAACTGCCATTCCATGCTCAGACTTATAACCACATTTAATTTGAAAATGTAATTTTCCTGTGTTAATCCTTCCATCCATGAAGAGTATCAAATAGGTGTTTTATCATATCTGGGTATTGAGAAGATTTTTGAAATTTGAGTGTATTTGACCTCTTTTAGCCACACCCACATCAGCCCTACTAGGAGTCAACCAGGATCAATATGTGCATACCATCAAAATACCACCTTATAATCATAATGCAAATCAAGTTTGAATTATTTTCAATAAATGTTTTGCTAAAAAATGTATTTGTTCTACTGGTATATAAATTACTTTAAACTTTACTCCCTCCCCAGGGGGATATGTGAGACCATGGGGTCATGAGTTTACAATTTTGGTAAAGCCCCTCTAGATCCTTCCATCTTTCAAGAATATTTGAATCTGCTGTATTTAGATATTGAGAAGAATATTTTAAAATACTAAATCAATTAGACCCCTTTTTGGCCCCACTCATCAACAACTGAGGGTCAACCAGGGTCAATGTGTGCATATCATCTAACTGCCATCCTATACAAATAATCCTATCCAAATTTAAACAATTCCAGATAGAAAATCAACAAATTATGCTTAAGATGTGATTTTGAACTACTTTGCCTCCTCCCCATGTTCAAATGCATATCGTTGAAATGTGATGGTTAATTTTTCAATTTAAAATGCACATTTCTTTATTATTTTTAATGACTTACATGACAAGTAAGATGTTTTACAAACACCTACTGATTTAAATCAATGTGGTTCGACAGAAAACCCTAGCTGTCCATTATGTAACCAACCAGGTAACATGGGCCATGTACTGTATATATAATGTACAGGAAAGAGATACATGGAGGCAAAACAAAGTTTTATGTGAGCTAGGAAACACACTGGAGAATGACACACAGAAAAAACAGTTTTACATCAACTTTGTAAGATCTGGAAAGACTAGCAGCAATGGAACAACAGCCCACCAGGAATACTGGATAGAGCTCAGAATGTGAAGGTGCGGGCTGACATGGGACAAAGACTGGTCTTCCCAGAAGTCTTCCTACTATGGACACAACAATGGAAAACAATGGTCATGAAACAGCTGACTGTCCCTTGGGAGGAGCGTTGCCAAGAAGCTCAAAAAGGGAAAGTATACCAGCCTTGGTGATGAAGTGAGAAGAACGTGGTGGAGATGGGGATACAGGGCTTCCCTACACGGTCCATGTAGAGGATATTCCCAGCATTGAGCACAAGATAAACAAACCGAATAATAGCTGTACAATGACAATGACTAGCAACAACACTGGAGAAGTCATCCAGTTGGCTTGGTGGAGAATGGAGGATAAGAACTAGAAGACATCCACCAAAGGACAGTAATTTGGCCAATCACTGTCAACTTGCTACATTTAGGGCATTCCCGAATTGGAGTCAAAATTCCAAGTGAGAGGAAGTCTTAGCTGATGACATCAGTGGATTCTGTGATTAAGCAATTGATATCTAAATATTTCATTCTTACAAATATTGTTTCCCAAAGTAAATCTGAAAAACAACCATAGCCATTATAACTGTTAACGCCGATATAAATCATTGTAAAAGGAGCAGGTAAATGTGGCTTGTACATACTGTTAAATATGTTCTCCGTCACTCACATGACCGAGCATGCTTCTATGGTGATGTGAACTGCAGTTTACTTTACTATTATGGTGAAATCAACCCCCTCATGGTAAAGTAAGGAAGACATATTTTTTTTTCTAACTGCTTGATTTTGTTCCTTTTTCGCATTTGGTCAAACAAACCAGAGTACCACTGGAAGAAACAATGTGCATCCATCCCATGCCAAAGAAATATTCAGGATTTGTTGTGTAACCTGGTAAAAAGTTGTAATATACTGCTCGGCTAGGGAGAACTTCTCTTTAGCTTGATCAGTTGAGTATCACACTAGTAAGCCAGGGGGCCCAGGTTTGAATCCTAGCACAGCCATTGAAATTAACATCCAATCCTAGAACCTGATGAAACTGTGTACATGCGTCAAGGGTATATGTTAGCCACATCATTAAAAAACCATGGGGGTACAGGAAGAAAATCTGTTATGCTTCTGACAACAGTAGCCCATGTTCACAAATCTCACGAGACCCTGACCATTAATTAAATATGGAAAGGGTCATTGCAGCAGATATGCTGTTAAGCTTTTATAATTTAAACAGGAAGTCAGTGAAAGTGTGGCAATAATTAACTTTCAATACTTTACAAAGAATGTTGCTTAATGCTTAAAACTTAAACAAAATGCAATGGACAAGCCAGTAAAATATTGTCTAAGGTTTTATCAAGAGGTTATCAAACATCTGGCAGCTGGTCATCTTAAAAGGCAGCTGGACACAAGTGTGCATCGCACCACACCATGGGGCAAGGCAGGGCAGGTTTATTACCTTGCAGACTCCCAGGTATTATATTGAAATTTCTCTCTCTCTCTTTCTTTCTCTTTCTCTAACACAAATACACTCTCTCATTGCCTTTGTGTCTTTCAAATGAGTGGCGTCCAAGTCCATCATGCACTACATGTATATCACATATATATGATAATTTATTACAATCAATGGGTGTATTTGTATTACTAATCTAGCTTGCTAAATCACTCCATACACTCTAAAGTTTTCCAAATGGCCTACACCCAGTTATTACAAAATATCAGGTCCCTGTGCCCTATTTATCTTATTGTCATAAGTTTACAAATGAATGTTGAACTAAAATCTTTCTCCTTTATTTGTGACAATTGAATATTACAGAACTGGTTTTACCATAGATATAATAAGAGTTCTCTACATGCATCATCTTAAATATTTAAATATTTAGGTAATAACTTTTCTTATCAGGTCACTATAAGAAGCTCTCATTAAAACTCAGAGGTGTATGGTTTTTCCAAATATCTTTTCTGCTCATATTCATATTTTCATCAGTATCTCACAAAAAGATTTTCATAAAACGCTGTAGAGATAAAAAAAAATCTTATTATTTACAAATGTCTTATACCAAAATTGGTATTTGATGCTCTAAAAATCATGTTCTGTTATCAAGTGTTACAAAACAAACACCGGTTTATATTTTTTTCACTTCAATAGAAAAGAAGAAAGTTAGTTCAGAACTGTAAACAGATTCACCCCAAGTAACCTTTTGTTTGAAGGAAAATATAAGATTTCTTTTCATTTGATTACACAAGTAATTGTTGTTTGACATTGCTGTCATGGTTACTAAAAGCAAAAATGAATATGAAAGTAAAAGTCACTTCCCTTATAGCATATTTGAAAATATTATAGATTCTAATGCGATCTACGAGAAGTGACAAAACAATTTCCCTGCGGTAGCGGCTACACCCAGCGTAAAAGTGTAGGATCTGTTGGTACTTCTTGTAAAGTACCGTCGCTATTTCTTGTAAAACGACGACAAGACAGTGAAATGAAAAGAACAACTGGATAATGATAACTTCTAACGACGCCGAAAATCCGTGGCATGTAAGCAAAACGCAATCGAATTTTCCATCACGAAATTTTGTTTAAAATCTTACCTCCAAACATGGGATAGGCCTAGTAATAAAAGTACATTAGAATTTCGATGTTCCAATGGCAGAATTGTTTGTCACTAACGTAATCGAATTTTTCATCACGAAATTTTGCTGAAAATCTTACCTTTAAACATTGGATAGTAATATAAGTACATTAGAATTTCAATGTTCCAATGTTAGAATATTTTGTCACTATGTGTAAATATTTGACAATTTATCAAATCTTGGGGCATACACATTTAAGACTAATTCGTAAACTTTTCAGTTAACAACTTTTGTATTCTCTGAGCGTCGCTGTAGAAAATGCGAAACTACAACGGATATGAAATATGCTAGCTGTACATGTTTCATCAAAGATGGCGTCCTCAATGATAGGGAAGAAGGGTTTTCGCACATTGCAAATTTTGGCAAGAAATAAGATTATTTCACGTCAATGCCAACTACCGAAGAATATCAGATGTGTTAACTTACATACAAATCAATTTTCAAAAAGGTATAGTAGACAAATACACGTTTAAGATAGTGTTAAAGAGATAAACTTAAAGCTTATATACAACGTTGTGTGTTGGCCTACGTGATCATGAACACGTACAGGGAATGTCCCTCAAATCATGTTAACTGTCGAAAGGAAATTTGTTGTTTTAGTTAATACTCTATAACGTAACTATTTACAGAAACAACAAAACAGCTTGACAAACAAGTTTTCTGCAACAGCTCAACCTTTAAATTTTCTGGAAAAATTGTTCTGTAACGAATTTTTAATTTGATAATTTGCATGATCCAATCACCGATATACTCATGAAATCTGACGCTAGCCCAAACACAGAGACCATCTTTCTGGTTTAGGCAGATCATCAACATCGGCATTGGAGAAAATTATAATAGCGAATTACTAAAAAGTACGATAATGATAATCTCGGACATATTCCGATTCACTTTCCTTCACTTCAGGTGAATTTGTCGGTGATGTCAGAATGATTATAAAGACAATAGCCCTAACAGTATGCGATATACTCTATTCAGTGATAAACTTTAGTTAACAATATCAAAACTGAAAGAAATCACATCACAAAGTATTGTCTCCTACTATATACCATGTTACCACATCGTCCATCATATTTAATTTCAGATTTCACCAGGCCAGAATTTCTGTGGGGACATCTGCAATGATAGGAGTATTTGCTGCTGTCGGACTAACAATGGTAGAATGTCATCAGGAAGGGGGTATCAAGGAAGAAATTCTTCAGTTGATTGGAGCAGGAAAACATGACAAAAATGTAGGAGAATTAGGTAACAATTTTTTAATTTCTGCAAAGGATAAGGCTCATTTAGCTTTTAAACTAGGTTTAATAACAGAGGAAGAGAGATGCATTGTTATTGTGTTATCCAGTAAGTTAATGGGAGAGAAGTACTTACAAACAGGACAAGTAGCTCGGGCTGAATCTTGTTTTGTGGAAGCCATGGAAGCTTACAAAAGACTAGGAATTGACAAGTATGATGATGCATCTTTGGAATTAGTCCTGAGATTAACAAACTGCTTTGCTGTGAGTGGACGTGAAATTGAAGCCAAGGACAGTTTTGATATGATAATAGACACTCAGCTAAGGAAGATCAAGGAATCAAAAACCAAGTGTCCTCTCAGCACCTACCAGATACTGTGGGCTACCCTCCAACTGTATGGTCGATTCCTTGTCATGAATAAGGAATATGACGAGGCAGAAAATATGTTCTTTATAGCAGATGATGTCATGCAAAAAGCAAGTGGGGAGGACTTTCATAAGAGAATAGACATTTTGACTGACTTGGCTGGTATCAAGATTGTCAAGCAAGACTTTACTGGTGCTGAGGAAACATTTGAGAAGGCTATCAGAATTGGAGAGAAAGAAAATGCACCTGAAGTGTGTTTTACATACTGTTATATGGCAGACCTTGCAACAAGAATGAATGAATTTGACAAAGCAACAGAAATGTGTGACAAGGGACTCAAATTAGCAGAAAAACTTCATGATGCAAAGTGCCATGAAAAAGCAAGTCTGTATTTAGAAAAACTTAAAGAAGCCAAACAAAAAAGATAAAATTATTTAGTTTTTAGTGTAGTATACAGATGTATTTATAAATGAAATACATCAATTGAAAAATAATCTGAAGCTTATAATCCTCTATCATTTCCTCAGAAATGATTCCAGTGTTCTGTCATAATCAGATACAGCAGTAACTTTAGTAGGATTTATTTAGGTGAGTCCAGAACACCAATCCAAAATTTTTGATGAGTTGCAATACTGAGAGATACATGTAAGTGGGTTCTCTAAATTTGAGCGAGTCCCACAGGAAAAATGTGTCCAGGACTCAAATATCGGAGTCCCTGAAATCATTTGTTAGTGATTCTAATCAATGAATTTAAGAGGTCTGAAAAAAACTAATGAGGGGAATGCTTTCTGATATCTAGGGTATTTCTTTTCACTCTCCACATATATGCATCTGAGCAAGTCGAAGGTGTCACTGCAGTATTAGAAATTAGATATTGTATTCTGTCTGTTGTTATTAACGTAATGATGCAATGTCCATCATACATATGTCGTCCATCTTATTCATATATCTAGTCAGTAGTTTTCAGGGAAGCTTATAAGCAGCTCATTTGGTCAGCAAGGACCCAAGATTAGATGGACAAAAAAAGAAAAATATAGTATTGGTACATAGGATATATCATCAGCTAACAAGGTCTCAATATAGTAAAATTTATGTTCCTTCAGGTACTTCATTTGAAACTGTATATGGTATTGATAATGTCAATTGTTCTAATTCTATAAACGCATGACTGCAGTAGTCAAGTTTTATCACAGAAGCTGTGCCTAAGTAGCCAATCAAATAAGCTTGATAACCAGCTGCAGTGTTAATGTATTCACACTCAAAGTATTGCACTAAAATATGTTTGGGTTTATTGCAGTTCGAATGTCATTTATATACCAATTATCGTAAGTAAATAAATTCATCTATGTACAAAAATGAAATGCAAAAGTTTGCTAAATTTGATTCCGCCAAGACATGTGGGTTAATATAAAGTAGGTATTTGATAGTGGAATATTCCTCAGGACATTTGGCTTCATGATCTCCACCTTTTTATCTATTTTTTTTTCTTTGTTTTTTTCAGCCCACCATCTAATAGATGGTGGGTTATTCAAATCGCCCTGCGTCCGTGGTCTGTCGCCTGTCCGTCTGTCCGTAAACAATTCTTGTTACCGCTATTTCTGGAAAAGTACTGGATGGATCTTTCTCAAATTTCATATGCAGGTTCCCCTTGGTCCCTAGTTGTGCATTGTTCTTTTTTTTGACTGATTCGAATTCAAGATGGCCGACAGGTGGCCATCTTGGATTTTGGAAGTAAAAGTTTGTTACTGCTATTTCTGGAAAAGTACTGGATGGATCTTTCTCAAATTTCATATGCAGTTTCCCCTTGGTCCCTAGTTGTGCATTGTACCTTTTTTGGACTGATTCGAATTCAAGATGGCAGACAGATGGCCATCTTGGATTTTGAATCTAAAAGTTTGTTACTGCTATTTCTTGGAAAGTACTGGATGGATCTTTCTCAAATTTCATATGCAGGTTCCCTTTGGTTCCAAGTTGTGCATTATACCTTTTTGGACTGATCCGAAATCAAGATGGCCCACAGGCAGCCATCGTGGATGTCGACAGTAATACAGCACAAGCATATTGTCCATTATCCACCTGTAACTGACTGCTATCTAATAATACTTTGGGATCTTTTTCAAATGATATTTGCTAATAGGTGCTTAATAAAAATATCTTATGCCATCATTTAGTATATTCAATGAAGACCAGTTCATGAACATTTACAACACCTGTAACAAACAAAAAAAATAAACAAATCTTCAAGAACTGAAAACAGATCCTCAAATGATGGGCGCCAAGATCCCTCTGGGATCTCTTGTTTTTTTTTTTTGTAATTCATTTATATTAAGGTCCCTGAAAATCACTTGGGGCATTGTTCTAGATCTCAATAAATAAAAAAAAAAAGACACCTGATCTTGCTTCAGTTTGAAGGATGTAATGTGATAATCAAAAGTGAAATATATATGTAGAGTTAGTTTATGGAGCGAAAACATATTACTTCAATAAGTGCTGTGATAACAGTCGCTCATCACCTTCAGGGTTGGTTGATAATTTACTGAAGACTGATCATGAGCTTTTCGCTCACATTCAGATCAAGATGCATTAGCAACATATGTTAGAATCAGTTAAACAAGAAATGATACCAGCAAAATTAAAGAAATATTATATTATGTTAATCTTGTGTAGATATTCTGGAATAAAATCAGAATTTTTAAAGCTGTTGGATTTGACAATAAAATCATGTCACTGGATGATTTATTGAGTATGTGTAATGGTGACCCATTGGATACCGGTATATCCAAGCATTGGACAACTATATTACTAGATAAGTTATATAGAGACTAGAATCTGATGTATTACACAACTACCTCTTAATTATGATTCATGAATAAATTTCTTATATTTGTCCTCCAGCCATGGTTGAAGAAAAGGTTGTTGTAGATATTTATTTGAAAAAAAATTAAAACAAAAAAAATGTAATGAGGCTTCCAACATAAAAGAAGGTATTTTACAAAAATAAATTTGCGTTGATATTTCATGCCAAACATTATTGATGAGTACAAGGAAAAAGAGAAAGCAAAAAAGAGGTCCCATTGTTTTACCCCAACAGCAATTGGAATGTAAGAATTTAATCCTTTAGGAAAAACTGTTGTAGGCTTGTGAGGTGAAGGGTAATGTACATGCAGGGAATCAATTGAGTCTTTCTTGTTTTACCATTTTATACAATTCATTAATGTGTATGTGTTGGATACGTTAATGGCAATTGTTAATTTATTGTTGGCATATGTTGAATGCCTGAAATGTGATCATTTATTATTATAGACAAATAAAACACATGACTGGATCAGCTTGATGTGTTGTATTATATTTCATACTTGTTATACAGTCTTGTGTTTTCTCCACTTCATACTTGTTATATTTTTTGTTATTCTTCTGTTCATAATCATTATATCTTACATTTACTTCATTTCATGCGTGATGGATGAAAAGAGTTTTTTTAGCTACTCTATACTATATACATATACTCTTTTTATAACATGAAATCATATTTAAGATGCTACTCATGCTAAAAAAAAATTGACAAACATTGCAAAAAAAGACCACACACTTCATATCTGCTGCTTTCAATTAATGACAGTACAGTGCATCTGACATGGATCCACTGAAGAACATAACTAGCATAGGATAAAAAAATATTCCATTGTAGAGAGGCTACAAAAACATGTTTGTTTGCATTCAACCTTAAGGCTGCAGAACATGTTTATTTGTGTTCAACTTATAAAAGGGAGGTTTACTATTAAGACATACTTATGTATGGACAGAGAAAAAAAATTGGACAGCAGAATGAATTAATACACATGTCAAAAGAAATCAGGCCACAGCAAGGAGATTGCCATCAACCAAAATACTGACCCTCAGTTCAGACTATCAACTAAGATACTGACCCATAAAGTCCTCAGTTAAAGTAATGACCCACAAGTCCTGAACAAAGATGCTAACCCGAAGCTTTATATCATAAACAGAGATACTGATCTAGGAAAATCGAAACTGATCTTGAATTACAGTCTACATCTAGACTCTCAAGGCATCACTGAAGTATACTACTGGAGGCACACAGCAGGATACTTCACCTGATCACATTATAATGACAGGGCAATTCGGTCATTACACTATCGCAATACAGGACATATAGTAGTATATCAGGGAACAAAACAAAATATTCCTCACAGAGAAAATCGCTCAACAAATACCAAAACAGAGGCAGTGTCAAGGGAAATATTCAGGAAAAAATAATTAAAAGAAGACAAAAGATCAGATTTCAAACTTGGTCGCCTCATATGAATCCTTGCGCCTTACTTGCAGACAGGATAGTCTTGTTAACCACGAAAATAAGCTAAAGGTCCTTTGTCAATGGACTGATTCTAAAACAAGAAACTGATCCCTTCCAGCCCTAAACCAACATACTAGCGCTTAGACAACAAGTTTTTAACCAAGATTCATCAAACAAGAAACAGACCACTGGGTTCACAATCAAGATATTAGCCTCAACAAGGATACAAATAAATCTCTACCAAAGCATCCCCTTTCGCAAGTCCTCTACCCACCAAGCTATATCCCAAGTCCATATCCAAAGTACTACTGGTGTTGTGTACAGTGGTCAGAGAGAACATAAAATATTAGGAAGTGATGAAAAAATTAAATGCATCCGATCAAGAGGTGAAATAGATAAAAATAAGGACTACGTTATTCAGTTTCAGTAATGATGAAAATAGTGAATACGTCGTGTTTTGTATGTATTTACTAGAAATTTTTCTCTGAACTTCGCCAAAGTAGAATCGAAAATTAACTCAACCCTCTGATAACCAGCAGGACAGTATCATGTTAGAATGGGCAGTTAATCGATATCGTGTACGTCATATTGTCCACCTTGGTAGTTTCTACACGGACTCTCATTCAATTAAGCCACAATTTGTCCTTACAACGTAAGACGCTTTCTCCCTGTCGGGTCAACATCACCATGTGGTGATCATACATCGATCTTAGATGACTTCCCTGTGGAGACATTTGGCTATGGACAACGATATCATGATTCTGTATTTCGGTACCATCAATATCACGGATTGCAATGTCCTGGCACGAGCTTGTCATGTCGGTGATAATTTACAGTGTCACGGACTTGGTTCTGATGCTTACATGTTATAGATCATTGTATTCATTATCGTGAGATTACAAAACTATTGAAATTGTATTTTACTAAGATAGTGTCGGCAATCTAATTCAAATACATGTATAGAGATAATTTTCAACAGAAGTGACATTATATCCTAATCTTTGAAGTTGTGCCGATGTTTTTTCCAATTGATATACTCGGAGCGAGGTCATCCTAAGAACAAACTTAACTTTCCAATAATGAACACGTTCCTATTAAATCATACGTGGTTCTTTCCGAGTGCATTGCGGTACCCTACGTAATACGGCCAGTTCTGGTCTCTTACCCCCGAGTAGCTCGTCGTCCACTCATTGAAATGCAGGTTAGCTCCTACCTCAACTAGCTCGTCATGAGGTACATTGAATTGCTGGTTAGCTTTTGTCCCCAACTAGTTCTTCGCCAACTCACTGAATAGTTGTTTAGCTCCTACCATCAACTAGCTCGTCGTTACCTCATTGGAATCCTAGTTAGCTTCTTCCCTCAACTAGCTTGTCGCAGAGTATAACAGCTGGTACTTCACCTCAACTAGCTCTTCGTCAACTCATTGGAATCCTGATTAGCTTCTACCCTCAACTAGCTCGCCGCAGAGTGAATTGAACAGCTGATTAGCGTTTTTCCTCTGCAAGTTCGTAATCAACTCATTGAAATACTGTTTAGCTCTTAACTCTCAATTAGCTCGTCGCAAAGTACACTGAATTGCTGGTTAGCTCTTGTCCCCAACTAGTTCTTAGCCAACTCATTGAATAATTGTTTAGCTCCTACCATCAACTAACTCGTCGTCAACTCATTGAAATCCTAGTTAGCTTCAATCCTCAACTAGCTCGTCGCAAAGCACATTGAATAGCTCTTACCCTCAACTAGCTTGTTATCAACTCACTGAAATCCTGATTAGCTTCTACCAGCAACTAGCTCGTTACAGAGTACAATGAACAGCTGGTTAGCGTTTTTCCTCTGCTAGTTCGTCGTCAACTCATTTAACTGTTTCTTAGCTCTTACCCTCAATTACCTTGTCGACAACTTATTGAAATCCTAGTTACTTCTACCCACAACAAGCTCGCCGCAAAGTTTATTGAACAGCTGATTAGCTATTTTTCTCGACTAGTTCTTAGCCAACTCATTAAACTGTTGGTTTGTTCTTACCCTCAACTAGTTCGTCTCCGAGTACAGTGAACTGCTGGTAGCTCTGCGGCATACATATGGCGAGGTTTTCTGAGACTGAAGAATGCAAGTAAAGATGGCCAACGCATATTAACTCTCACTGAAAGAGCACCATCGGTTAAGGTCAAGAGACAACGTCGCTGCTAGTTGCATAACATCTACAAAGCAAACCCAAGTCGGGAATACAGACGCACACGGCAAGAATTGATCCCTATTTTCAGCAACGAAAATCATATCACGATTTATCTTTACGACAGTATCGCGGTCAAACATATCCCACTCTCTAACCGAATGTTGATTACTTGGTGAGAAGATCTTCCTAGCATGTTCAATGAAGACGTCGTCATGTTCTGCTGAAGTCTATTATTCAATGAATACGTGGTAGCTTTTCACCTTCTTGTACTGACAACACGTGTTCTTCCTACTGATGTTGTATTTCAAAGAATAAACACGTGACCATGTTATTTTTGAAAATTCAGAGGTGCAAATAAAGAATTGATTATCTTCTTGCTTACATAAACATTAATTTGCTTTTTTGACTGGGGAGGAGGACATGGTCGTGTAAATAACGACGTAGTTGCGTTCTTTCCACCAATGATCAAGAGGTCAATGACATGTTCTTAACGAGAGATCATGTTCATCTTGTCGATGAACAGGTGGATTTGTTCTTTCTGTGGATGAAGATTTTGCTACTTTCTTTTTGACAATGAACACGTGGTTTTGTTCTTTCATATATAAACACATGGCCACTATTTTTCTGCCAATGAACACGTGTCTTGTTCTCATGCCAACTAAAGCTAGGTCGCGCTCTTCCAGACAGTAATCATGTTCGATTGATTTCCTGGCTATTAACCTACAAGATGTGGTGCATCAGCAGACCAAGTAATTAAAATAATTAATTTGTCACCAATTCATCTTTGAATCAATTAACTTGTGGTTGGTCCCTAACAATAATCAGGTCCTCGTCACGATTTTCCAAATAAAGAGCTGATTAAGTGTTAGACCTATCCTGGTGCAGTTTTCAAAAATAGAAGTAAAAGTAAAATGTTGAACGGAAAAACTGCATATGATATATATTATTTGTGTTGTGTTTATTTATAATGACAAAAATGTATATCACAGGGGCAGGGGTTGCTTGGTTACAAAAGTAAAGGTGACCTGAACGAATCTGCAATATGCATACACAGTATACAGTAGGCTGCACAATATTTTTTTTCTTCTGCATCATCATCATACACACTAACCGAATTCCCCTCATACTTTGTCAATATATCCCTATGCCGGGGTAACTGACACTGCTGAACAAACTACAGGCGTCTGACCGACACCGTACGGTAAGGCAACTGTGGCTCACCGACTTTATATCTTATTTTGTAAAAGTGTTTGTGTAAATGGCTTGTTTATCTTCTGTATAACCTTGGAAAACAAACAAAGGTCCCGTCATATTAGACGCAACCCAGTTCAACCTTTTTCATGCTGTGCTTGGAATAAATATATATATATATATTTCTAAAACACTTGTCTTGCTCCTTGCTAGATGTTTAACCGATCAAATTATAGGCCTACACTTCCGCATACGACTGGAATAACTATATCTCGACATTGTTAGGACATGCATAAATGGTTTGATTTTTTAGGACTGATGTTTATAAATATGTTGGTAGTGACTGCGTAAGATACAGTTCATCTACTATCCACGGTGTTGATTTGCTTAAAAGCCTAGTTTTTATAAACTTAGGTTAACATTTGCAGCTTTTCACCAATCTGTAAGGTAAACGTGATGACAACTGGCAGGTTACCTTACAACACAGGATTTCGAAAGATACTGTTTGACGTCGACTTTTCAGAGGTTTCTCGTCGCAACCGTTTCATAAGAAACCACTCGACTGCTCTATTTCCCCTATTGGAACCTGGCCCGAGGAAGTTAAAGGACATTGGTCCGTATGCCTGTTCAAAGGACATTACTTACTTGGATTGACC